TGTGTGTGTGTGTGTGTGTGTGTGTGTGTGTGTGTGTGTGTGCGCGCGCGTTTGCAGTAGAGCAGATCCGTAAGCGGAGATGTAAAGCGGCGTTCAGCTACGCGCCTCAGCATGAAGACGAGCTCGAGTTGAAAATAGGAGATGTCATCGAGATCATATCAGAGGTAAGACTGATCACTGGACCCACAGTGAATCATAAATACACTTTATGAAGGCCAGTCTGCAGAAATACGCCTCCATAAAACACACATCAAGTGTCCTTTTTAGCACATTTATCGCTTGTTTTATAAAGAGATATGATGGGAGTAAACATATATGAATGTTGTGTTTGTTTAACCAGAGAGCACTGACAAGTTTATATATTGATCCAAATACCAAATACAAGGAGCTCAGGTTTGTTTTTTTGTGTGTGTTTTTCTCATGTAGCAAAATGAGACTACAGACTGCATTTGGTTATGCGACCCGGTTGTACAATGACAATAAATTAATTTTGTAGAGTGTATATACGGCTGAATTAAAGTCGCTACAGCTCTGCTAACTGAAAGGTTTCCAGGAGCCGCTGCAAAATGCAACCGAATGCAGTAAGACATCCTGGTATTTTTTGGCATACTGCTTTTGACATACTTTAGATTGGGACATCTGGTGAATCTTGGTGTTGTAGGCACAGCTTGTTAGCGAAATTACTGTCCGATGCTCTTCTGGTTTTCTCAGCTGCCACTGAAAATGAACCTTAAAATGAAACACAAGCTCTTCCTCTTTGGAGAGTCAGTGCCCGTGTAGATATCTGTGTAAATCTTTGCTCTGCTTTCTCTGTGTGTTGTGTGTGTTGTGTGTTTAGGTGGAGGAGGGCTGGTGGGAGGGATTTGTAAATGGGAAGACTGGAATGTTCCCCTCCAATTTCACCAAAGTTGTCCAGACTGAGTCGGAAACGTCCTCCTTGGACACATCGCAGGAGGAGCTGCACAGCACACGCACCAGTGAGTCTCAGCCAATCGGATGGTGGGAAGGCCGTCGCATATAAAAAAAACATAAGCTACTGGCTCTGGTTGTTGTATAAATAACTTTGGATGTTTGAATTACCATGACATTTTCTTATAAATAATGAAAATGATTCTACTGAATCTACATTTGAAGTGTTGAAGCTAGCATGTAATATCTATTCTGTGTGTGTGTGCGTGTGTGTGTGCGTGTGTGCGTGTGCGTGTGCGTGTGCGTGTGCGTGTGTGTGTGTGTGTAGGTAAGGACAGCCCAGGCAGTGAGAGTGATGGAGGCGACAGTCGGTCAGAGACGGGGTCAGGAGAAATCCAGCCCAAGAAGGTAATCCATGTTGTACAGTTCTACATTCCTCTGCACCGCACTTCGTCTAAACAACTAATTCGTCACACTGGTCTTAGGACCATCATCAGACAAGAATTATCCTGCCCGAGATCTAAAACCCGAATCTTAATGCCCTGCCGCGCACACTGTGAGCCTCACACACGGTCGGATCACGTTTTTAAGTATCAAACGGAGCGAATGTTGGCTCCTTGATTTAAAGCAGTTGCAACAGCGTCTCAGTTGTGCAGGGAAAATAGAAATAATAAAATGTCTGTACTCAACACACTCCTGCAGCGTAATGCACCCCCTCTCCTCTATCCACCCGTATGCTCAGCACACATTTTTGACGAAATATGTCGAAAAACGCATCTTCTACACGTCTTGTGGTTTATTTTTAAAGGAACACTTAAACCAAGAAATACACATTTTTTTACTCTTACCTTGTAGTCTAGATTGTTTTGGTGTGAGTTGCCTTCTCCAATGTATTCATTTGGTTTGTGGTGCGTAAAGCGCCAAAAAAAGTCAACCGCAGTGTCTCTTTCAAAAAATCCTGACCCGGTTGCTCAAGACCATCCACAGACCTCGTTGTGAGCAGTTTCATGTAGGAACTACTTTCTTTCAACCATAGTTCCTGCGAGACACCGCTCACAACAAAGTCTGTGGATGAAAAGAGGAAATGGAAAAATATCTATTTTTGTTCTGGGGGTGAACTGTCCCTTTTTAAAGCAACTTGTATTATTGGGACCAATCAGAGCTTAGGAGGTGGGGTTAGGAATGGAGATGTCATCCTAGCTACCTATCTACATTAATTACTGCAGGGGTAAAGTAATTGTGCAGACCAACAGGAAGTTATTAGCACACTGGTTCCCTCGACAAAAAGCCAATCAACTTTTTCCATTTGTATTTTTGCTATTGTTACCTCCGCTTTTATGATTTTTGGAGAATGAATACAAAGTCAACGTTAGGCTATAAACGAACTACACCACAGTCACATGAGCGCTAGTGTAGATGACAAAATTCCCGAGAGGGCTATTTACTGACGCATTTTAGACGTCGTAAAACAAAACGTTAAAATCGCATAACCTCGTTTTAACACAGACCTTATTTCAGACATCTAACCAGAAACACAGTCAAAACAACAAACACATTGACTTCAAGATGAGGGAACTGGGAGTGCAAAACGTGCTTACTCATTTCCTGGTTTTAGGACTCATTCCTGCAGCACTCTATTCATGAAAAACATCAATAGAAAAATGGTGCATGAAATTGACGCGGATGTAGGAGTTGTTATAGAATAACAACGCCTACATCTGTTTTGATCAGTGTGAAAACCGTTAACTGTTTCTCTCTCCTGATTGGTTGGGGCAAAACGAAATCAGCAAACATTGAATGTCACTGTTTGGGTGACAGAACGAAGTGAAATAAAAATAAAAAGTCAGTGTGACAATCAGATCAAAAACATGGCTAAACTCCCAGCTTGTGTGACTGCCAGGGACGAATGTAAGCTGTGTGTTCAGCCATGTTTTGGGAACAATGTGAACATTCAGATGACGCTGCAGTGGACGTGGTGACTCATTGGAATCCACTGAAACAGCTGCTGCCTCCCACAAAGCTTCACACGTTCAGGGCCACCAGGGGTCAGTGTGTGAAACCCAAACCTCAGATTTTTTTTTTTTTTTTTTTCAGCGACATGTTCCTTTAAATATTGTGTTTAAATTCCAGTGTTTCACCTCTTTTATCCTGCTTCCTGTAGGTCCGAGGGTTTGGCTTTGGTGACATCTTCAAAGACCAGCCCATCAGGCTCAGACCACGCTCCATGGAAGTGGACTCAGAGGGGGACAAGGTGAGACCCCCCCCCCCCACACACACACACACACACGCACACGCAAACAAACACTTACTTCATACATTTTTTGATACTGTGATCATTGTATTCTGTGAAGCTAAGGAAGGAAGTCCCGGCCTTGGCTCCTCCCCTTCCTCTGTTTCAGGTTTACAGCACAGGAAGTGGTTTTATGTTGACTGACACACATATACACACACACACACACACACACACACACACATCCTGCAGGGATTTGACAAGCAAAGCAGAAGTGAGAGCTCGGCAGGGAGAGGGAGAGGGAGAGGGAGGGAGAGGGAGAGGAGGGGAGGTTTTACAGTTTTTCACTGACGTTTACATATTCACACACACACTGTCTCCTGCTGCCGGCGCTGATGTAGCAAAGCTCTGTCTGTCTGTCCGTCTGTCTGTGTTTGACTGGAACCAGAGGAGAGGACGGTAAGGTCACATTTTCTCTATTTCTGTTCCTCTCTTGTGTTTGTCCCCGAATTTGATTTGTTTTATTTCCATCCTCTGTCCCTCACGTTCTTCTTCTCTTACCCTTTCAATGTGCGCTGTTTCACGTGAGATTAAACAGTGTTTCAAGTGTTGTGGTTTAGCTGCGGTGGACTTTCAGGTTTGGCGAAGTCGGTGGAGTCAGCCTTAAGTTAACTGATACATCATGCAGAAAGTGTGTTTTGTAGAGTACACATTAAATGTGTCTGTTGATGATCAAAGTACCATTTCAAAGACTGTGTCTCTCTGCCAGGAATGCATTTTTTGGGGGAACTGCTAAATACGCTTTAATCTTTTTTTTTTTTTTTGGCATGAAAATAGTCAAATTCATGGATTAAAGGAATTAAAGGGTCAGTTTACCAAAATAACAAAGAAAATAAAAACATACTTACTTACTCCCATTGGTTTCTGGCGATGCAGATACTTTTGGTTTTATTTGCAGATCTTTTTAAAAAGGGGTATCGGAAAAAAAGGGTCAGAAATTTAAAATGTAGATGAAAAGTTCTGCAAATAAAAACGTAAATTATCTGTATTGCTGGAAACCACCAGGAGGAAGAAAGTGTGGGTTTGGTAATTGTGGTGAACTGACCCTTAAATTCCAAATCTATGAATTTGACAAAAAGTTTTAACAAGGTGTTAATGTTTCCCATTAAACGTTAATCTTGGAAGGTTTTTAAAAGCACATTTCACCCATCAGGAGACATTACACTTTAGATTTGTTTTCTCCTTTATTTTGTAATCTAAATAAGAAACCTGCATGAGGAACATGTCATCCTCTGAGTAGCTGAACAGAACTGAGACTAATAGATGAAGAAAGGGAGAGACACGGGATGGAAACACAATAAATTAAGAAGGTAAAGAAGACTTAAAATCCTGAATGTAAAGAGACTTTTAAAAGCCAGAGTGGTGATCGAACCTTCCTGCAGCTCCTCCAGACATCTGAGGATGTCTGTCAGTCAGGAGGCCGTTAAGTTGCTTTATGGTGAGACATGTCTCTCTAATGAGGCTTTGAAGGAGGTGAGAGCAGAGCGTCTCCATCCGGGGGGGGGGGGGGGGGCACTGAGTCACAGGAAGCCACGTCAACTTTATAACTGAACTAGAAGGTCAGCTGCTCTTAAAGTGGGTGAAGTCCTAATGTGCTGCATCACACACAGTGTTTTACTAGCTGATGATGATAAATTAGATTATTTTTGTGCCAGTATTCAACATCGTTCAGCTCTGATTCTGGCCAAAGGGGAAGTGTTTCAGTGTTTCATCCAGACTTTTTTCTTTGCAGTGAGTCAAAGTCACTCAACTCAGCTGAGTCTTCAATGTAAAACAAAAACAAGTTTAGGAGGGATAGTCGATCCCAGAGGCAGATTCACCGACTTATTCTATGGTCGGACAAAGTGAGGAATTTCCCTTCAGACTTAAATTAATAAAGTAATGCTCGTTTTAATAAATATTTTGCTAGTTATAGTAACTTGGATCATACCAGCTGACTGGCTGTAACATATCAGCCTCTGTAATGTCTGCTCTGTGCACGTTATCAGTCATGGGAGGTTTATATTTAGTCTTCTCTCTGTCCTTCAAGGGAGACATCAACGCTTTCCTCGTCAAATCACTTATTCTGCAAATCAAAACATCCAAGAAATCTGTTGTGGATTTATTAAACTTGGCCCAAAAAAGAGATTATTTCCTCACGGTCAGCAGGACAGTGGAGACCTGCACTGTAGTAAGTCAGAAGAAAGCACCTTAATTATATTAATAGAGAACAAGACGCAGTGTCATACAGTAAATATACTGTCTGTACTTAATGCTGTAGAGAGGTAACTAAAATGTTATTTCATGCAATTTAGTGTCATGCTGGAGACAAGAAACGGGCAGAAGACTTTAAGCCACTACAATAAATCACGTTTTTATTTTATCAATAGATGAATGGACTGTGTAAAATATGAATGGGGGGGGGTATTTTAGTGTCTTTTAGCTCATTGTTTTGGTATCTAAGCCTTCAACTTCACTGTTTTGGTTCATTCTCACCACTTTCATCAGCGTTGTTTCATGGATGTGGGCAGTTGTACAGCAAACCACCTAAAAACACATGAAAAGTCCCCTCCAGAGGCCGGACACGTCAGCATATGTCATATAAAAACATTCGCTGAGTCATTAATGCCACATTAGGGTCGTTCAAATGGACTCACTTGAAATTCCGAGGCCACACGGTGCAGCTCAACACTTTACTCAAGGTTGGTGATGTTTGTTTATTTCTCAACGTGTGACATTTTACAGTAGAGGAAGAAAACTGACGGCTTTATACGCGTGTTTGAAATTCCTCCGGTCACACTTTGGTTTACAACGACGCGGCTCTGAAGCAGCCAGATGTGCAGTACAGTAAATGCAGCTGTTGGGTCATGTGAGGTTTCTCCTGCACTAAATAAGAAAATAGTTCCCTTTTTGAAGCTAACTTCATTACATGACACTTCTACTCCACTAAATTCATATTAAAGTAATAATTTCAGGGTTTTTTTACAAACCAAGATTTACATACAAAATATACAAAGAACGTTTAAAACGTGACACATTGTCATAAATTAAAACTACCCAGTATTTAAAAATTGAGCCTAAACTATGAGTCAATTAATCAATGAGCTAATTAAAAAAGTTATCAAAAAATCAGCTGTTTTGATATTTCTCATGAAGCACAATATATATAATTTAATATGTATAAAATTGTTTAAAATTAGCTTCACCTCAACTAAAATGCTATATACACTCAGAGCGATCATTTCTCTCTATTAAGTACTTCTACTTTTGATACTTTGAGTACATTTTCCAGATTATAAATACATATTTTAAATTAAATGTCTAGTGTGTAGGATTTGGCGGCATCCAGTGGTGAGGTTGTAGATTGCAACCAACTGAAACTTCTACCGCCTGCTCAGCCTGAAGGAAAACTTCAGTCAGTGTTTGGTTCGTCCGTTCTGAGCTTCTGTAGAAACATGGCGGACTCTGAAGAGGACCTGCTCCATATATAGATATAAACTGCTCATTGTAAGGTAACAAAAACAAAACAACTCTTACTTATAGGTTAATATTATATTCCATTTCTGCCAATAGATCCCCATAAATGCTACAGACTGTCCTTTTAATTAACCGAGTATTTTCACAGTGTATTATTAGTACTTTTATTTGAGTAAAGGATCAGAATACTTCCTCTGTCTATAAGAGGCCCAGAAACATGTGATACTTGGACATGGAAGCGTCTCTGTGATGTTGTAATGATGTCTCAATGCTTGTGGCACCACATTGGTCTCATTAGAGAGGGAGGGGGGGAGAAGGGTGCAGAGAGAGAGAGAGGAGAGAAGCTGGCGGGGGAGGTGGTGTGTTCCGAACAGAACAGAGCTGTGTGTGTGTTCGGGACAGACCGGGTCTTGTGAATGTATGAATGTGTGTATGTGTGTGTTTTCCTGTGGAAGAGCCACCCTGGTTCCACAAACACTGTCAAGGGATCCACTCCAGCCAGAAAACAACGGCTCCTTTAATAACCTACACCACACACACACACACACACTGCATCATGCAGTCAGCTTGGTGGCTTTTGTGCTAAATCCGATCTCATCCTCTCTAATTAGATGGTTAGATGGGAGCTGTGGGACATTGCTGTCCGCTGGAGGAAAGTGATTACTTCAATTTAATTCTTTATTTCTTTGTCCTTCAGTTTATGATTTTTCAGCCTCTCAAATATGGATTTTTTTTCTTTTTTTCCCTGTTTAAGATCACATTAAACTGAATATCTTAGGGTGTAGGACTGAATAAGTTAATAACTGGTAGATTAATCGATACATTAGGAGGAGTGAACCACAGCTGAATCAAACCAGGTCACGATCGTTTCTAGAGACGTCGGTCGAACTAACCCTGGCATGAACAGGAAGTCCAAACCGAAGCATAGTGATTACACACACTGAAATAAGACCGAGATTACACAGCTGGTTGCAAAACGATGATATCTGTTGCAGATGTAAGTCCATCTGAAGATCTGAGTTTGGATGTGAAACTAAAGGTTTTCCCCCCCATCTGTCCTTCTTTCAGGTCAACGAGGGGAAAGCAGCGAGCGTTCAGCCGGAGACCATGAAGACTGAACCTGATGGCAAAGCCAAAGGTGAGACAGCTGAACTGTTGTAAAGATAAATCCAACACAAACAACAATATAATCTGATGAGACAAAGAAACATTCGACCATTTTCTAAAGCATAGTGACGTTTTTCATGTAGAAGCTTTCTTTAGACACCGCCTTGTAAATACCTGCTTACTGATGTGTTCAGGTGCTTGTGGAAAGCTCCGACATCAAACTTTTGGGAAAGCTAAAGTATTACATTAACAAGCTGTGTAGAAAAAACTCAAATCCAGATGACAAAACAATACGCAAACATGATTGTTGTGGGAAAGATGAACCTTTTTTGCATGTGAATTCTGCTTTATTGTCGTCATACGTCACGGGATTGAACAATGAAATGCAATGAAAACCTCCACTCTCTTGTTTTTCAACTCTTGATTCTTCTTGATTGGCAGGGCGGGAGCTATGTAAAGTCCTCTTTCCATATGAAGGACAAAACGAAGACGAGCTGTCACTAAAAGAGGGAGAAATCATCAACATCATCAGCAAGGTAATTTAGAACGTGTGTGTGTGTGTGTTTATACGTCTGCTTTTATTCTTGCATCTTTTGGTTGCTTTCATTTGCTTGAAGAACATCCAGGTGCACATTAAATACACCGAGCAAGCATTTAAGGTGCAGCTCATACCAAACACACTTTGCTGTCTTTTGTGCAGGAGTGTGCTGACGCGGGCTGGTGGAAGGGGGAGATCGGGGGACGGCAAGGTGTCTTTCCAGATAACTTTGTCAAGCTGCTCGACGTGGATAAAGAGGTAATCTTTTGGCGCAAGGAAACATGCAGTAGTTGTCTGTTTCTTGTGATATTAGAAGGCAGGAAAGCCTCAAAGACATGATGTATTATTAACATGTTTTTACATTTCTGTGTGTTTCCAGAGACCAAAGAAACCGCCTCCTCCCAGTGCACCTTCAGCTAAACACACCACAGGTACAGTAACATCATATGTCTTTCCTCTCTGGTGTTTCCATGTTCTGAGAGAGAAAGAGAGAGAAACCTGTAAAAACTCTGACCTGTAGAGAGAAAGTCGGAGGTCAAGAAGGTTCCTCCCGAGCGACCTGAGCACCTGCCACAGAGAGACCAGGATCGAGGTACAGTCTAGACCACTTTGGCCCGGCTCGGCCCGCCTTCAGCCTGCAACTTTCTGCTGATCTGTTCAGCCGGCAACGGACGGATCACTAACTAACACGCTTCATATTAATAATCCGGCATTTGATTTGCTGGAAAGGGTTGCAGCATGAAACGGAGACTCGATATCAGCGTGAAAACTGGACGATGACGAACATGCAGCAGGTTTCTGTTGAAACAACAGATCACTTTGCAGTTTGTTTGTCCTCCGTTGTAAAGCGGAGGAACAAAGCTTTGATTGAGGAAACACTGTCAACATCATTCTGTGTGCAACAGGAAGCTCTGGGCACTGAGGTGGTGATCTTGACAAACACAAACTTTCATTTTGTCTCCTTGTATCGTATTATTACAGCACAAATAGACAAATTATTAAATTATTATTATTATTTGACCTTTTTGGCCTCAAACTGTTTTTTAATTGGGGACATCACTGATTGAACTGCTTACAACTCGCACACATAATATCTGAAACTTGTGACAATGGGCCTCAAGAAGAAGCTATTTTATAAATGTATCACGTACTTTTTTAAATTTAAAATCTTAGTCGATTCTACGGCTGTTAGATAAATATCGTGAAGTAAAAAGTACTTAATATTTGCCTCTGAAATGTAGTGGAGTAGAAGTATAAAGTTGCTATTTCTAGTTATTTGTCAAATAAGTCCCTTACTAAATCTCATGCGTGCTCATAAACCAAAATCAACTGATCATCTCTGGTCAATTTTATTTCCTTGCTTCTTGTTCTGTTTTTCCGTCCCAGCCTGGGGCAACTCCAGACCTTTCTTCTCCTTCAGTTCTAATCTTTAACAAATCTTCTCTGGCTTTGCATCTCTTGTACTCCTACCTTGCCCTCACCTATGCATGCATGTTTGTGAGTGTACATGTGTGTATTTATGCCGTACAATACGTTTTTTTTATGATTTTTCCCTTTGAACATCCATGTGTGTTGTGTGATTCTGTGTGTGAGTGTAGGTGTAGGTGAAGAAGTGAAGCTTGGAGACATCCCCAAGCCCTCCCTCCCATCTACCCTTCCCAAGAAACCCCTCCCCCCAAAGACAAGCACCTCCTCTTCCTCACAACCCCCGCGGCGTCCTGAGAGACCGCCCACTCTAGCGTCAGTACACACACACACACACACACACAGGCTCTTACGAAAAAGAAAGAAATCCCAAATACTCCTGAGCGTATACAGCCTAATGTTGTTGTATGGTTTACCTGCTCAGGTGTGAAAGCCCCAAGTCAGAGGGCGGGGCTTCGACACCAGATTCTGCCCCTGACAGGTCACATGACGCTGGTGAGTTTGAGTGACAGGAGCATCGACTCGCTGAGATCAAGATATGGTGCCTTAGTAACTGTCGGAGCACTCTCGCTCTCTCTCTCTCGCTCTCTCTCTCTCTGTGTCTTGTGTCAAACAGCTGATGATCAGCTGTTGTTTGTGTTTCAGATGTGGACCTCAACGTGGTGGTGGCGTCAACAGAGAAGCTGAGTCATCCTACGGCGACGCGGCCGAGAGTCACAGACCGCCGGCCTCGATCACAGATCTTCACACCAGTGAGTGTCTTTAATCAGCCCACTGAGAAGGACGTGTTGATGTACACCACTGTGTCACCAACAGGGGTGGAAGAAGCACTCACATCACTTTCAGTAAAAGCAACAATACCACAGTGTAGAAATACTCTGCTCCAAGAAAAAGTCCTCTAAGTTTACTGAAGTAAAACTACAAAAGTAGTAACATCAAAATATACTATATTAATGTATATATTATTAGTTAATTTATTAATCACTAAAAACAGAATACTATGATAATGACTATATAGTACGAACTACTTTGTGCAGCATGAAATGGGTACATAACTCTGTTTGGTGTCCATGCTAATGATTTAGCTATCGGTATTCAAAGCATATTGTTAATTTGTGGAAAACCTATTGTACTGATCAATACGAAGGTTAGTGTTGAGTCTTGGTGCAACATGTGTTTTCTTTTCCTTTTGGGCATTGCGAAGTGGAGCTGTTTATATGGATTATGACTGTATTTAAATTACATATTTCTGATAACGGTATCTGTAGAGTGCTTCAGAAAGCCACCGACTTTGCACTGACTAGATGTCTGTCTTGCAGTCTTCCCTGTCCAGTATCGACCTGGACTCCCCTACAGTGATGGACAGGAAGCAGAAGGAGGAGCCGGAGTCGGTCCCCTGCAGACCTGTAGAAGTTTCCATGAGGAAAGGAGTCCCCACCGTCCCTGTACGACCACCTTCATTATCACTATTTATTCCATCCAGCAGAGGGCGCCACGCCACATATTTTCATGTTTCTGAGCATTCAGTTGGCAAAAACAATCTCGTTTGTTACAATTTCCATTTTTCTCAGCACTTTAAGGACGTATTTTCTGTAAAGTGCTCACCACCAAATTATACATATTTACTGTCATCTGGATTCCTAACGACCAGGTTATATTTTAGATGTTAAGATAGAAGAATTCCTGAATTCATAATATCATCTCTGATCTGTGTTTACATTTGCCCTCAGGTACCTGACAGTAAAGTCCCACTGCCCACCAAGCCCTCTGTCCTGACCCTGCCGAACGCCGGCCATCGCCCCGCGTCCCCGTCTTCCTCCTCGGGTCTGAGCCCCTCCCCCGAGCTCAGGCATTCACCTCTGACCCCCCCGACACTGGAGGAACTCAGGAACCAGCTGAGGGACCTGAGGTCCTCCATAGAACTGCTGAAGAGCCAGCACAGGTACGTTAAACCTAGAATCTTTTAAAACCTTTTAAATCACAAGAAAAAATCTCATGGGTTAAGTTCCAACACATTGATTTATCAGTTTTGTTTTTATTGTGGGTGTTTTATTTCCGTTGTATTAACTTTTATTTGCCGTCCTGTAATGTTATAATCCTGGTTCACCCATGTAAAGCACTTGAAAAGTTCTTTATAAATAAAGTGTATTATTATACCTGTGTCTACAAGCATGCCTGAGTGTGTGTGTGTGTGTGTGTGTGTGTGTATTGGAGTCATGGTGTATTTGTGTGTATTTCAGGCAAGAGATGAAGCAGTTGACCAACGCGCTGGATGACGAGAGGAAGATTCGTGTTAGTTTACAGGTGAGACTAAACAAACAAACAAAGCAGATTCTGAAATGAATGGCATTAGAAATCTTAGTATATAGTAATAATATGTATGTACTGTATATATTGGGTGTAAATTGGTTAATTTAGAGTTCATTATTGAGCTTTTTAGAAGAAATGCCACAGGAAGTATAAAAAAATCTGGTCTAATACCCAAGAAATACCGGATATAGGACACACGCGTTATGAAAAATGCTGTGATCATTAGATGCAATAGTACTAATACTTTCTGGTTTTGGTCAGGACAAAAATCAAGCAATGTAACCCATTTTGTAGATTAGATAATCAACTTATTAATTGAATGTGAAAACCACTCATTCTCTAGTAACACTGGCGTACTCTCATCCAGAAAGGATTTTAAGAGCAGCAGCTAAATGACTTTAACCGCACAATAAATGAAACCACAATATGTGTGTCTTTGTTTGGCAGATGGAAGTAGAGCACATAAGGAAGAGCCTGTCGAAATGAAGACTGAAGCATCCTCTTATCGCCACATCGGCGTCAACATTTGAACATTCTCACTGTTGGCCGAGACACTTCAGCCAAAACAAAGTTTGTGCCAAATGATCGTCAGGATCAACATCAGCGACAATACAGTACCATGGAACCATCCACCTTCCTTCCCCCTCCTCTGACGTCGCCTTATCCAGCGTTTACTTCTTTATTTGTTTTTTTATTTTAAAGAGGCTTCTCTTCTTAAGTTTACTGCTATCTTGTCAAAGCTTGCTGTGCCACCGGTACTCAGAACGATGACACAGAGGCTTCCGTGGCGACCTCGCTGGTACTTCTGGAGACTCAACCTTCGTAGCCCGGTTGGTTCAGACAACCTCTGTGCTGGTCTGTGTCCACTCTGTGGCCTTCACCGTGTGTGTGTGTGTGTGTGTGTGTGTGTGTGTGTGTGTGTGTGTGTGTGTGTGTGTGTGTGTGTGTGTGTGTGTGTGTGTGTGTGTGTGTGTG